AGATAGAGAGTGAGAAGAGACTACCCAAAAAGTGTTTGAAAAGCCGTGGGTGGCGCGCCTTATCGCCCCAGTTCTCCTGGAGAGATTATTGGGGGATTAGTGCGAACGCTTGTTTCTAAAACATGATGAAAAGACGTTCGGCGCGTGATAACGCTTTGAACTCCCCTACTCTACTCCTTCTAGGATCGTGCCTTGGGGCTGCCTTTCCACGAAAGACAAGATTGGGGTGGGGTGAGCTGTTGGGTGCTGTTGAAGGGGGGGGAACAATAGGAACGATGTAAGCGGAGTTTCTCCTGTGGTGCAGACTTCTTCTAGGACATCTGTCCTTTTGGAAGACGCAACAGATGCAGCAAACTCTGCTCCCTCTTTAGCATCATCACTTCATCCTTCATTTGAGCTAAAATTTCACAAGTCCTACAACTTCTATCCAATCGCACGCAACCGCACTATCAGTTAATTAAAGCAGGATCCAATCAGAAGAAGCGGAGATATAATATCAGATCTGTTATGTGCGATCCAATCAGAAAAGCAGCAGTGGCGTGCTCGCTCCTGGGTTGCCATGGGAGGCTCGCCGAGGAGGACCTGGTTGTTCACTCAACCAAAAACTGTGAGGAATCAGCAGCCAGCTGATCAGTTGATCAGTAAACATTATTATACCCTGTTCTAAAGTCCAACAGCCATATCAGCCAGAATATATTTAAATAGATAAATGGTTTTACGCCTCTTTCTCAAGAGATGCAAATGGCAGAATTTCCATATGACACAGGCCAGTTAACACGCTGCTAATCTAATGAAGGAGATCTGTTGGAGGGAGAACGAGAACTGGATCTCATCTGCCTCTCTCCCTCGCTCTCTCTGCCCCACCCTGATTTCTCAGAACTCACACCCATGCATAAAACAACACACAGCTAAGGAACCATCAAAGGCGCAGTTCGACAAAGAAAAATATCTCTGATGTTTCTGTACGTGTTTCTGCACATCCAAACACAGTGTTGTTGAGTCACTGGGTAGACCCAAGTTAGTTGAGGGAGGTTAATTGAGAAAGAGTGAAGAAGGCCAATACTGCAAGGGGTGGGGCTGAGAATGGGCCGTGCCAATCTTACCAAGAAATGAAGTGAAAGCATGTCCAAATGCCAGTACAGTGCAGTGGGGAGGGTTGTGTCAGGAAACGCCTCGATATCTGAGCCAAACGAAAGGCAGATCAGCCAAAAGAAGAAGAAAGAGTACCTTCCTCAGGTCTGATTCAATAAGGTGTGGCACCAGAGCAAACTGGGTTTGAAAATGTCAGTATTTACAACGAGAGCGTGGTGAGCAGACTCAGTTGCAATATGAGTTTCTGTCTCACACACAAAATATGAGGAAAAGTATATTTAGTCTTACAAACTGACTTACTAATGTTTGCGACACACAACTTCCATGAACTGCGCTGAAAAAAAGAAAAGCATGTCCTATGTTTTAGTTATTTATTTTTGTATTTGATACTGAAACAAACTGACTGCCCCTGAGTTTAGGAAACAGCACGACATTTGTAAATTGCCCTGAAGAGGGGAACTCACACACGTCATTTTGACCCGTTTATTTAATCCGGAAGAATGAAAAGTGAAAGTTTTACTTTTGTTTGGTATTTTATCATAAAAATATTATTTTATTCTTATACAGAAACCACCAGGACGCATTAGAGAATGGAGGAATTGTGGAAAACTTTGGTCCCTTTCTATTATCTGGGAATAAATTACACCGAAAGTCAAAGGCCTACTGTAAGAATAAGACAACACAATATTAAACAGTTTTCACATTTTCTGTTAATCACTTTTTTTTGGGGGGGGGGGGGGGGGTTAGTTAGAAGTTCAAACAATATCCAGTAAACCTGTGACACATCCAATGTGATCTCTGTTATTGATGAAGCGTCCTTGTTTGTTTTGTAACAAAAATACTTCATCTATAGCAACAGCGATGATAACGTGACGATTAGTTGAAGCTAATGAGGAAATACTTCAAAAGCTGACATTTGAGATGATTTGGAGGTGGATTAGTGCACATGACACAGGGAACTAGTTTATCTTGGAAGGAAGCTTTAACATCAAACACTGAAGTTATGTGAGTGGTATACAGTGCAACCCACATAACCTTTATGAGGGAACGCACTATTTAAGGAACAATATTTGTCTTTCAAAACTGACATTTTGCTCTCAAAATACTCAAAATATCTCAAAACACTGATATATATCCTGCTAGAGATTCCAACTGTTTTACATAGATTTGACAGAGAGATCCTAACAACTAAGAGGCTGTAGGCTAACCCAGATTCATTATTAGTTAGTATGCACTTTCAGACCCAAACTCACATCTAAAACCCTGATGTTGGCCAGCAGATCGGGGTGAAAAGATACATTTAAATGATAAAAGCCATGAAAACTGTGCCGTTTTTTAATTCATAAATTCAAATAAAAGCTATGTGAAATGAGTTTATCATTAGCATTGAAAGTGTTTTAGGCTCACACTTTGGCAGAGCAGAAGAAGATGAGCAGATTTCTCCTCCCCAACAGACTAAGGAGGATAGCCCTGACCCCTGCTGACCCAGGAGGGAGGGAGGCGGGGAAGGATTGAGGGTTGGATAGAGGGCGGGGGTGGAGGGGGGAATGGAGTGACAGGGAGAGAAACACAGGAGGAATGTGAGATTACGGCCACTATCTCCAGCAGATACCGAAGGTCCGTCTCCTCACTCCTTTAGTCCGCAGATAGGAAGGGGGGAGAGGGGAGGAGTGGGGACAGAAAATGAGGAAGAAGAGGGAGAAAATGAGTTTTTAAGAGTCAGGACGAGATGCTTTCCATATGAATGCCAAGACCTCAGAAGAACAGAAAAAGACTATACAGTTTAGAGGAGGAATAGGACAGTATGGGCAGCGGAAGGGGAGGGGAGGAACAAAAGGTGATGGGTGAGCGTGTATGTGTGTGTATGTGAGAGTGTTAGAGCGCGCGCGCGCACACACACACACAAACATCTATCTGTACACTCAGAACCACACTGATAATAAACGAAATCTTAGAAATGAGAGCCTATCAAGCGGGAATCAATCACTGGGGTTTGTTGTCCAGGAGGATGGCGCCATGTGGAGATAAAAGACAGGCGGACGTCTGGGGAGGGCAGGGAGGAGAAGAGGGGAGAGGATGGAAGAGGATAGGACTCTGATGGAGAAAGGCCAGGATGTGTGGTATAAACTCCATCTAAATTTGAACGGGAGTCTTTTTGTGGACTGATGAGAAACTGGTTTGGATGCAGATGCGCACAAAATGGGCTAACCTGACGCCTTTAAAAGCTGAGAAAAAACTGAAGATCAAGCCACAAAAATCAATCAATCAGTACAAGAATTTTGGGCAGGGAATGGCTGTGTGCGTACAACCCTGTGTGTGTGTGAGGCTTAGTGTTCGTATAAGAGTGCGTTCCATGCCAGGAAGCCTCTCCCAGCATCAGTATCATATGATTAAGATGGACTTGCGCATGATGCACAAACCCATCCTCTGATAGGGCTCCATCCGGTCCCACACACTGTTCCCAAGGAACACACACACACATAAATACATTGCACACATGGCTGTTTTCATTTCCAACCACTGTCTCACACATGATAAGATTTGTACTCATTGTCTGCAACCATCTGACCTCTGACCTGACCAGTGGAAATCCCTTCAGTCAGGTTTCTCTGTAGTGTTTCACTTCACCCTGGTTTGCCCTCAGCTCTGTGTTACAGTGCAGAGGTGGTATAGATCAGCATGCTGAAACTCTAACTTTAAACTTTAAATCCAATAATCACTTAGGCTTAGATGGTTTCAGAGTTCTATAACAACATATTGCAACCAAAAGGCAAATTATTTCTATTAATTTAAAAGAAAATTAGATTTGAGCTTTGGCTGAGAAATAATGTTTATTTATTTGGACAGCTCAACTTTTAAAAAGAAAGATTTATTACAGCAGCTGAATACAGTTTGATGCCCAAGCTGGTGGTGGTTGCAGTTTAAATAAGCCGCCAAAGTGGGAAGCTGTGAACACGACATGAGGAAAGGGAAGCCTGACTGATGTAGCTTGCAGGCTTGGCTCCATTATTAACATTGGTACACTGCAGAAAACAGACAACTGGAATAATGAGCCTATAAAACATCAACTCTGCTGCATGACATCAGCAAAAGTGGCACTGAAAGAGAATAAGGCTAGGCTGCTTGCTGCCACCACAGATGTCCCGGGACCAGCAACACAATCACAAACTAGTTGACTAAGACCGCTTTCACTAAGGTTAACTATATGAGGACAGCCCACATTAATCGTAGTGTTACTGTAGCCACAATAAAGAGCCTTCAGGAACCCTGAGAAGCTCAGGACTGGACGAGGACTTTTTTCATTTATCTCACTGGACAAAAATCCTAGTAGCTGACAGCGTATGAGGTCTTCACACTACTGGATAAAATACTCCAATACTGGACCTGTTCCTGCGTAACCTGCCTGATGATCTCCGACTTCAGTGTCCAACGATGCTAAAAACAAAGCTCCATGTAATAAACTAGATGGTAGGCTGTGGTAGCAACCATCTGAGAAATTCAACCTGCTTAATGTGAGTTCTCACATCAACTTGAAAGTTGCTTTAGAGCCACAAAAATTCAATATTCATTATTTTAGCAGGAAAACATAGTCTGGTAGATTTATTGTATCCAAATCCAAACATAACAAAGTCATAAAGAATATCACGTCTAGCGTTTAAACTTTTAAATGATCAATCCTCTGTTGGTCTCTGAGCCGTCCATGCTACACAAAGTTTACTCGTGCTTTCATGTTGCAGAGACGGCGGTTAAGCCAACACTTTGCTAAGCAGTGCAAACACAGTAAAATACACAGGAATCGTTACCATAGACATAATTCTATATTTAAATCTTAAACAGCTCCATGCTGGAAATTCAGCACAGTGCCAGAGAACTTTAAGCCGTGGTAACCACACTGGACGAGCTCTTACCTCGGTCTCCTGCTCATCGGTGCTGCTCTGTGATTGGACGATTCCTGGGTAGGGGCCCCATACTGTGTCTGGAGAGAGGTCTCTTACTGTCAGCACACTGCTGTCGCCACCTTCATCACTTAGCTCCAGGTCATCTGGGAAGCAGGTGGGAAACAGAGGAGGAAATAACATTAAATAAGCCCAGAGTGGTTTAAATATTCATGTGCCGAAGAGATCATGAAGAGGTCTCTTCATCGGGAGCATGATGTAAAAACCTTGAACTCACCATTCATCAGAAAAGCTTTGAGGGTCAGTGCCACAGTGCAGGCCGTATCGGTGGCTCAAAAGACAAAAAACTCAATCAGCATGTGGCTTGAACTTGACCTGAACCCTCAGAGGAGCTCAGCCCAAACAGAAAATACTGTCAGCAGCTCAACAGCAGGGGGAGTTTGATACAAGCACAGTGCTTTCTGTCCTGGCCGGTTCAAACAGGGGAAACTTCTTGTGCACTTCCTCAAAGTGAAAAGATAAGTGCAGAAGGATGGCAGTGACAGCTGTGGTCTGAGCCCGCTGCAGCCTAGATAGAGGCAGATAGCCGGCAGGCACGGAGGACTGAACCATCTATTTAAAAACTTAGAGACAGCTCGGACTGTGAGAGTCTCTCGTTTAGAGGAGTCTCTGAACATCTGAGGATAAATGAACGAGACTGCAAGTGAGTGCTGTAACGGGAACTCTGACTAGATGGGATTAACAGCAGCAGTTACACAAGCAGCCCTGCGGTCTGCTTATTGAGGAGTTCTCTTGTTATAACCGTCCACCTACTTCTCTGATCAAAATACATACAAAATCTGCCTGCCCTCCTCTCCAGCTCCCCCTCAGCTCAACCAAGAGCTGTTTCGGGGGGGGGGGGGGTCGGTCTAAAGTGGCGGGCCTGATAAGAGTGTTTGTCTAACACTCTCCATGTCAAAACACTCATCTATCTTCTCTGTATCTATCCCCACCAGAGAACAACGGACAGACGCTGATAAAATGGCTTTCCCACAGCCGGTTGGGGGTGGGTGAGTGGGTGAAGGAGGTGATGTTGGTGGGTTTGGGGTTATGGAGGGGGAGGGAAAAAAGCAGGAAGAAGTGCGGTTTGGAGAAAGAAAAAAAAGTAGACGTTAATTCAATGAAATGAGTCCTTACAAGCCAAGGAGCGGTTGGAGATATTGTTTTTGCTGTGAAAGAGAGTTTTGTGGCAAAGGCGCACAGGAAGTGGTGTTTTTCTCTTAACTCAGAGCTCAGAGTTGCAATTAGACTCAGCCCAGTATGACGAATAACACACAGGTGCTATACTGAGAACATTCAATAGTAACTGATGGTATCAGTTTTATCAACCTCAGGTTGTGCACTCAGAAAACACACCACAACCAGCCGTGCTTTCTCGTTCTTCTGCCCCTGTGAACAGAAGAGTGTGATACTGATGCCTGATGCCAGACGCAACAGGAGCTGGCCCGACCTGCTGTGCTTGGGTCAGGTTGGGCTGAATTTTTTATTGTGTGACTCGGGTTCTTTTTTTAATCTCTTAACATCCACCAGGTTACCAGTGACCTGCTTAGGTTCAGATTCAGGGTCACACCTACCCTTTTATATAGAATTTGTTCATATTTTGGCATCCAGACAACATTCTGAAAAAAAAAACGCATATTCAACATGTGACTAAACTGCAGCTTAACTCTAGTTCTAACTGATTCACTGCGAGTTAAATAGTGCTTAAAATTTGGGCTACATGCACCAAACTAGAGCTGGGTATCGTCACTGATTTCTAGAATCGATTCAATTCCGATTCACAAGGTCCCGAATCGATTCGATCCACGATTCGATTTAATTCGATTTAATTCGATTCGATTCGATTTAAATCTGGGAAATTTTGACAGTCAGAAATATTATAATTCAGATCAGTACATTTACATATTTTTGTATCAATAAAAAGGAAGCTGACACTCGCAAGACTTTATCAAAGGTGTGAGCGTCACAGCAGATGCCTTTGTGTCAAAGTAGCTGAAGATAAAACACAGAAAAACATGAAGGTGATTTTCCTGGCCTAGATTTTATAAAAATATTCTGCAGTACATCAAAAACGAAAGAAAACCATTAATCAACATATGAACATTACCTCTGAAGTTACAGCGGTTTTATTAGAGACACGGTTAAGAGTTTTGCATTTTGAATAATTTTAAAAAGTTTAAATTTGTTCAGTATTGAACAGCAGAAATTAGGTTTTCTTTTTGGAAGAATGTAAAAGGGATAAAAACAGCGACTGACAGCGCTGTAAACAACAGTAGACTTGTGTAACAAGCAAGCGAATAATGAAGAAAGGGAAACTGTTCTTGAAGTACAGAGAGAGAGAGAGAGAGAGAGAGAGAGAGAGAGAGAGAGAGCTGTGCATGGCAGTGGAAGCAAAACAGTAAAAGTCAGAGTGAATTCATGACGATGTTTATGTGAAGCGTTTGGATCTTCTTCTGCTGCTGGTTCGGTCAATATTGTTTGGAGAGACATCAAACTAACAGCTTTAGAATCTGCTCATAAAGGGCGTGAACACAAAGCGCGGACCCGCCGACAGATCAGAATCAGCGAGCTGTCGGCTTTCAGCCCCGACCGTGAGAAAGGCGACATCTCACTGATTCTGATCCGCGGGTCGCGCTGTGTGTTTAAGTCTATGTGCAGAATCCGTGTTCCTGCTCTCATTTACTGTCTTAACTGTTTGGTGGTTCTTGAAATTTTGTGAGATGTCACCAGAGATTCTGGCATTTCGGGCAAAATAAATTTATATTAAAAAAATCGATTCAGGATTTTAATGAATCGATTTTACATTATCCAAGCCAGAATCGATTTTAATCGATGAATCGATTATAAAAACCCACCCCTACACCAAACCCTGGTTTGGGGCATTGTTGGAGGCAGAGTGGGTCAACGTCAGGAGGGGACTTTCACAAATATCCCACAGTGCCGCTGCAGATCAAATTTAAGGACAAAATGGTTAAACAACTAACGGCTGCAGTTAGCCGACGCCTAACAATCTGTCCCTTAATTCTGGGGACAGATTGGCCGAGGTTTAATAACCTTTAGAGCAGTGCGTAGGGATGTGCTCACGACCTTTAGCGGCGTGTGGTGCCTGCGCTGCACGCGATGACGCAGGGTTGTTTGATGCTGTCTCTGGGGACAAGGAGACGGCAGGGACTTCTTGTAAGCCCCTTCTGGCTCCAGTGGTTCACTCCACAGGAGACCCCACTAGAGCGGGATGACACCCTAGGAAGAGGGACGACCCAGTTGTTGATGTCTGAAAGCTGCCAGGAAATTATTTTCCAGGTGGCTCATTACAGCCCCATGGTAGGGCTTGTGGGACACGAAAACCTCTGGATCGATTCATGGCCCGATTTTATGGAGTGTCAGCTGGTTAACCAGTCGCTGATTCCAAAAAATCTTTTGCACCTGTTACCATTAATGAAGGTCACGTTTGAGCGCATTGGCATGGACCTCATTGGGCCACTTGGATTGAGTACACTTGGATTGTATTAGTTCTGGTGGATAATGTAACACAATATCCCGAAGCAATGCCGCTGCATATCATTTCTGCAAAGAGTGTGGCGTAGGCAGTATTTCTGGTCATCTCCTAAGTTGACATCCCAAAAGAAATACTGACTGACCAGGCCACATAGTTTATGTCTCACACACTAAAAAGAGCTGTACAAATTACTGGGCATTAACTCTGTTTGGACCATCGTCTACCATCCTCAGACTGACGGGCTGGTGGAAGTTCAGAAGTTCATTCATGAGGATGAACTCAACTGGGATCGCTGGTTAGACCCTCTGTTGTTTGCAGTGTGGGAGGTGCCCCAGGCCACTTTCCAGCACCTCAGTTGTTGCGTCCACAACCTGCAAATGCTGCTGCCCACTTGGATGATATTATCATCGACACTAACACTTGGGCGGAGCATATGCAGCAGGTGGCCGTGGTCCTGGAGTCCCTGAGGTAGGCTGGGCTCCCGACCAACCCAAAGAAGTGTGCAGTTGGACAGAGGAAGGTACAATATTTGGGGTACCACTTGGGAGGTAGGCAGGTGCACCCACAGGTTGGGAAAACAACAGCCATCATTTCTTTCCCACACCCCAATACAAAAAGGGAAGTGGTGGGTGTGGCTGATTACTACCGCTGGTTTGTGCCTGGTTTTGCAGAGCTGACCAGCGCCTTGAGTGATCTCAGCTGAAAGGGTGCCCCAGATCGGGTCCAGTGGACAGAACAGTGCCAGGTGACGTGAAGTAGGATCTCTGTGGGGAGCTGCTGCACCACACCTAACTTTTCCCTCCGTTTTATCCTGCAGACGGATGCCTTGAACAAAGGGCTTGGGGCGGTTTTGTCCCAGCAGTTAAGGGGGCTGACCGCCCTGTTGTGTAAATCAGCCGGAAGCTGTCAGAGAGACCAGATACAGCACGGTGGAGAAGGAGTGTCTGGCCATCAATTCGGCGGTTGACTCTCTTCGCTATTACCTCTTGGGCTTGGCCGCATGGCTCTCCAGCCTCAGGTGGGTGGGTGTGGTCTGCAGGTCCACTGCAGAGGAGGGGTGGTGCAGTGGGCTTGAGGGGGAGGCTGGCATTGCAGCTGGGAGCAATTCAGTAATTACACTCTTCTATTTCAGTGATGCTGAGACCTGGAGGAAGGGAGGACAGGTGGAGACAGCTGGAAAGCTGTCAGGACGATGGACTTAGTGACTGAGAAAAGCACATTTAAATAAAAACACTGTCACAAGCACGCTGGGTGTCTCGAGTCTTTACTGGGATCACGCACATAGAGTCTGAAGCTACAAAGTATAGCTGGTCTGGACTTGAGACACAAGACAGGTGTCAGATTCTCTTTGGACATGAGATTTCCCGTTTTGAAATCTGATGCTGAGCCAAAAATGAGTCCTCAGTCTGTCCTCCTGGCAGCAGAGTCTGAAGTCCAGTAATCTCCTATCACCCAGTGGGGCCTCAGTTTGGTCACTTTGACCTCTTCCTTATCTCACCACTCCATCAATGTCCAGCCACTCTTTGAGCCATTGGCCAATCCCAACCACATGGAACGCTTATCAGGCTGACCAGCTCTGCTGACCCTAATTGTGAAACGTCATGAGCATTT